TGGCAGTGCTGGCGATAATCGTTGATGTTTGAGTAGTAGTGCTGGTGGTAATCGTTGATGTTTGAGTAGTGGTGGTACTGGTTATCATCGCCATTGTAGTAGTGGTAGTAATGCTGGCCATTGTCGATGTTTGAATAGTACTAGTGGTGATGATCATCGTCAACATTCCAGCAGTGGCAGTGCTGGTCATCGTCGATGATGTTCCCGTAGTACTGGTGCTGTCAATCATCGCCAGTGTTGTAGTAAAGGAAGTGCCACTACTAGAAGTCGTTGATGAGCCACCTAAAATGTGTTAAAGCATTCATAACATGAGGAGATGTTGCAGCATGGTCTGATATCTTGTCTGCGTTGATTCTTTCTACTGATCTGTCGAAACTATTGTTTTGTTTATGGTGTAAGTATTTGCGATTGATAAAAATGAGGTTGTCACTATTGTTGTATCTAGCAGACATAATACATACGTGTGATGTTACTTCCCAACCCAAGATGGATCGTTTTGTGTCACTGATTGCTTGATCGGCGCCTCAAAATCACAAGTTTTTCATGAAGAATAACTAAGACAATGCTGTTCTCTACTCTTACAGGTTGCCCCTTAAGAATGTGCAACTTAATGAAAGCTGGAAAGATCTTGCCGAATTTTGAACAATATGTAATTAGTATTGTCTTCGATCTTGATTGTGAATCATACGAAGTGTGAGAGAGAATTATGCGCCGTTTTGCAAGGAAATAAGAAAAATCACGGGACTTTATATAATATTCAGCAGTGTCTCAGTTTGACTATAACTCATAGTGAGAAAGTTTTGAATTTACGAGTTTTCACAAATTATGATATATCCTGGAACTTTGGGTAGTAAATTGAATATCAAAAAATTTGCACGTGAAATTTTGGATTCCTGTATTAGTTTGAGAGAAGAGACAGCACAAAAGAAAGGGAAGTGTTTTCGTTATGCACAACTATGGAAATGTTATTTCACGTAGACGATCGACAAGCTACATATATTCAGACATACCGAAGGAGACTGCAGTTGTATTCGAAATTGATCCCTTATCTCGAGTTAAGAGCACAGGTACGACAGTCACTGTAGCAATGAGAACCAAACCAATGATCATAACAACGATAACCAGTGGTTTTCGTTTGGCTATTCCACTTCTACACAGAAAAAAAAGTAAAAGACTGAGATATTAGAGAAAATAAAGACGTACGTGACTGGAACTGGCGTTGCTTCCATTATTTACCAATGAATGATGTCGTGTTCAATAGAAGCCCAGAGTTCGTGAACTTAAACATAACATTCGTTAAGTATCATAATACTTTACTTATCGTCTGACTAGTGTTCTCAAGATGAAATGCGTTAGATACTAGTGAGTATTGCTTTCTATTTCATTTAATATTGACAAAATAAAAAATATAACTGCTTTTGAAATGATATGAAAATGATTATCTGAGACGTTGCTCTCCAGCCAACAGTTAGTACTTCTTATCTTCTATGTAATTAAGTTGTCGGAGCATTGAATAATTTTTGATGGCACTGAATCAAAAAAATTGGAAGATGAGGTAACAGAATGTCATGAGCCGCAGCTTGCTAATATTCTATGGGTAACTGTAGTTAATATGTTGCACACTTTGTCAACATCTAATCGATCATCACATACGAGATGTCGATGAATAACAAATTTTGTGTACCAACGACTCTTTGATGTTCAAATCAGTAGCTCGTATCACAATGTCGATTCAATGTATCATGAGCTGATCTCAAGGTACTTACTATTTGATCATGAAGAAAAATCTATCTATGTAGTGAATGGAAATAACAACTCAATTCAAGACTGTGAAGAGAAAAAAAGTAGAATACTGTAAAAGATACTGCTCATGATAAAAGTCTACGTCATTTGCTTATGTCCTCAAACATGTCTATTCGTTTGAGAAAAATGAGAGAAAATCATACACCGTTTGCTTGTAATGCTAATGCTGTTATAGATGCAATGAAACGCTCAGCAGCTGTTAGATTAGATGTTTTTTAAACCTCAAGAACATCGTGCTGGAAAATGTCCCTAACGAGGGAACGCTCCCAAGTGATTAAAAGCTTTTGAGCTCATATGTTGCCCATTAGGTAGGGAACCACTAGATTAGAGAAACCTCCAAAGGTTTCGTGCCCATATTGAGATTTGACAGAGATATCTAATTTTTAGTAGATTTTCCCTGCTGGGCCCTAGTTCTACAGCAAAATCATATTTTCGAATTTCGACCTGAAACTTTGCCCAAATGAAGGCCTCGATTAGAGTAGCTTGTATAAAAAATTTTAGAATTTTTGGACATTGCATCTTCAAGGTATCAATCTTTCAAAGTATCCATGTTATCTATAGAAAAGTGCCTATATTTTCAAGAATTGATACCTTGGAAATGCAATGTCCAAAAATACTGAAACTTTCTATATAAGCTACTCTAATCGAAGCCTTCGTTTGAGCAAAGTTTCAGATCGAAATTCGAAAATATGATTTTGCTGTAGAACTAGGGTCCAGCAGGGAAAATCCACTAAAAATTAGATATCTCTGTCAAATCTCAATATGGGCACGAAACCTTTGGAGGTTTCTCTAATCTAGTGGTTCCCTACCTAATGGGCGACATATGAGCGCAAAAGCTTTTAATCACTTGGGAACGTTCCCTCATAAGTAGAAAAACAAAGGTTCAAACGCTGATGCTTTTATTTCCAGTAGTTATTTAAATACTGCAGAGGTAGACAATGGAAAGAAGGTTGAAAGAGAATATTATTTATTTAATGCATTTTATATATGCATATCGATGAACGTCATCGTCTGAAGAAAAGCAGTTTTTTGTGTTTACATTTGCGTACTTTCTTTTTAAGATAATGAAATCATAATTAATATCTTTAACAGGACTTTACTGTTGTTTTGAAGAGCACAGTTTGGGTACGATACTGTCAAGCATGCTCGTTACATGCTTGGCCAGTGTGACAGTAAAAGATAGATGTAAGTAAGAGTACCTTTTTGTCTTCCCTGAATATCGAAAAATCTTCATTTTTCTCAAGTTTACGTGAAGTTCTTCAGGCATGATTCTGAGTATTCAAACTAATGCCAGTTAGCATAGTATGATTGAGGAGCAAAAATGATCAACAATGATAGCAGCACAAATTTGATTATAAACACCATTTCAATGCTCGTGGAAGTGATAGTACTTAGCTTTACGAACTTTCGAGAATCATTCTTTGAAATGACTATCTGCTTATTGACTCTCAATGTGCTACAGGAATCTGTCATATCATGATGTAAAGTTTAGAAGTTCATTTTTTTGAAGTTGCATTATAGTACAGTAGAGAGCAGTAAATCATCTAATTCTATCTATCTCATTCAATCACTGAGAAGATTTCTTCGGTTTGCACTTTGTTTATAGGCATCTCAGATGCAATATGGATGAAAATATTTCCATGATAGACTGGAATACACAAGTGAGCTTATTTTTCTCAAATAATTATAAGAGAGAATGATATTTTCTTTTTCTCATCATTTTCTAGTCAATAACTGTTTCTCGAGACAAGAGTGAAGATGAAAGCAGAAACACACTAATGAGTGAGAATAGATTGACAGATGGTTAGCGATGAACTCTCTTTGACGAGAAAACATTTTTGTGCACCTAAATTATATCTCATTCTATAATTTTCCTGCATAGAAATATTGAATGACTTCGAGTTCAAAGCAGTGGACAGCAGGAA